CTTGAAGAATGTGCTGACTTTTTGGGGGTCATTTAAGTTAGTTTTTCAATAAGTAAAAGAATAAATTACTGATGTAATTATGTGACTAAAATGGCTTCTTAAAAATTTAAAACCAATAAAATGTGAAAAACATTGAATGCTCTATGTTTTAAAAGCTGCAATCAATGTAAAAATCTAAAAAAAACAACAACATTAAATTAAATTAAATTTAAGAGCAATATTTGTACGTTTATGGAATAAATACAGAATAAATCGTGGATTTAATAAAAGATAAATGTCGCCCTCTGCTGTGCATCAAATGTTTTTATCGCTGCAATGCACCAAGCTGCCCTMGGAACTTTGAACATTTTGTCTTCGTTTCTAGCCGGACGTATGTTGTGTTGCACCGTCTTGGCAGAGCATTTTTAGCTAGCATTTTTTTTTTTTTGTCTGTAGGGTTTTTGTTCTTTAAGCGGCAATGGCGCTAAAACATTTTCGTAGGTTGTCGCTAATCTTCGGTGTTAATTATCAAAGTAAAACATTTCSTGGACCGGTTCGGACGACTTTGGTGCCGTTTAAAACCTACAGCGCTTCGACGGGAGGTGAAGAGGCAGAAACAGGTAGAGGAGCTCGTAGTAACCCGGTGAGGACGGCAGGTGGCGGCAGAGGCCGCTGCGGCTTGTCGTGGGACATCCGGTGTTACCCGGTCGCCTCTAAAATGCTAAAAGAAAATATATTGGGGTCGTTTKGTCTCTTTTGTGTTCATTTTAAGCAAAGTGACATACCACACTGGCTGATTATTACAATTTAAATGTGTTATTTTTGTGTGCGTTAGAGCAAGGAGGGGGAAAATCTCGACGGGTGAACGTAAGTCGGCACAACACCTGTCAAAGGAAACATGCTTTTTTGTTCAAAACTTTATTTAGCAAACTCAGGTTCACAAACAGAACAAGTAAAACAAATAGCGTAATTAAAAGTGCACGTATTGTGAATTTAAATAAAGAATATTGACAAAGAAATTTGAAAACAATCAGTGCACTCTCAGTTTAGCCTTTATTGAGGAGTTTCTTGGTGCTTCAGTCCTAAAATATGCCTGAACTAAAACAAAACAAACCTCAGTGGTATTTTAGATGTGTGGGGATGTGGATACATTTTTAATCCTACACYAATATTAAATCTGACAGCGGATTCCCAAAGAACATTTCAAACCGTACAAAATAACACAAAAATCATGTGATTATCTGAAGTATGACGTAAGTTATTGATGTTTGTTCAGGTGAAATCAGCTCATGTTTTCTTGTTGCAGTTCACAGCAGAACCAATGGGACCATTTCACCTTATCTATTATTGCTAATAACGTCCTTAATGTTCAAGATATCCCCATGAAATTTGAGGAAAAGATTCACATTCTGGTTTTTGTAGGAAGCATTTTGTATCCTAAAAACTAATAAAACTTAATAATAGCCAATTCAAAAGTAGCAGAAAAGGTATAAAATAACATTACAAGGCAAACTGCAGCAACAAATCAACTTAGTGTGTCTTAGAAAGCAAGGAAATTAAAACAATTTAAAAACCATGTGGACATGTGTTTTGTAARCAAAGCTGCTCAACCAATGACAGCGTTGTTAAATGTGACGAGCGTCAACACACTTTGCTAACAAGAGCTATTCCAGATTTTAAAAAAACTTACTTCAACGTTTCAAATCATTATCAAATTTGGAACAAGGGCAGATAAAATAATGTTTTCATGGCAGCTTATCTCTTTAAGGGGTCACTAGAAAAACTCAGGTGATTTACTTTGATCAGCTTTTCAAAAAAATGTCTCTTCAAAACGCATCAACAAAAATTGAAACCTGGAAGACAAGGCTGTAGCTAACTACCTGACATCAGCGCGGTTTGTTGAAACTCGTAGAAATAACGAAGCAGAAGGAAATAACGAGCAAACTCACAGAGCAGCCTTGTAAAATCTGGTCACAGCAGCTGCTGACGAAATGTCAACATCTCTGTGGTTCAGTTTCCATCACTACAGGTCATTTTGAGGTGCAGACAGATTATATTCTTTGGAGCCTGGACCCATCTCTTTAGGATGCAGTTTCCTCTGTGTGGGGTTGACGGTTGGATTCCCTGAGATGGACCCAAACAATGTTGGGTCGGCTCTTCCCACTGTGAGTTTAAAGGTTCTGGTCTCCAAGTGTTTTTCTTTTCATTCCGTGTCGTTTGTCGCAGGTCAGACTGTGGTYTCGGAGCGGAGGGGATCCGTGCTCACCGTGGCGATAAACCGCCCAGAGGTGCTTAACGCGGTGGACGAGGAGACGGCGAGACGTCTGCTGGAGCAGTTTCAGGCCTTCGACTCGGACCCGGACTTGAACGTGGCTGTTCTGCACGGGACAGGTACTGAAGCCTCGTCACTGTACCCCTGAGGGGACCGGCTCTCTGTCTGCCACCCAGGACCCAAACCACGTCACGACTCCTCGAACGCATCTGAAAATAATCACACGCTGACCGAACTCCTTCCCTCAGTGGAAACATTCAGTCTGTGTTCAGTCTGACCTAACAACTGCTATACCATTAAGTTTTTTATTGAAACTGCATTGTGTTAAAGGGGAGGTATTATGCGAACTTGACTTTTTTTTTAGCTTCATATCATGTTATAAATATTCCCTCATCAAAAACACACCCAGAGTGTTGCTTTGACTCATTCCTTCATGTTTGAGAAATCCTTGAGTCTCCTGCAGCCATGTGGAGCTGCCAAAACACCTGCTGGTACGAAGCTCCGCCCATTTATCCAAAGCTCCTCCCTGGAGCTCAGTCTGCAACCACAGCACCCCTCCCCCAAATTATTGTTGTGAAGACGTGCTGAAGCGGGAGTGTCAGAAATGGTAGGAAMATTAGAGACTGAGGCCATTTTTAAGGTGTTTAGAGGCTATGATGCAACGTTACATTTATTTTTGATATAAACAGCATTTTAAAACAAGTGAGGGTAGCAGAATTACTTGATTGTGGTATAGAATACCTTGATACTCCCCTTTAAAATAGTTTTTTCAGAACATATTTAGCGGTAGCAGTACCTTAAATTTGAGAGAAATGGAAAGTCTTTGAAGGTCCTTGATTTGATGTGAAGCAGGGTGTAGGATGGGAACACTGATTTATGTAAGTTAATTTTATGCAGAGCAGCTTTTCTAGCATTTATGGTAAATCCCACGTCTGGCACGTGGTTCCTTTCCGCAGGGAGGCGTTGTTAGCCCTTGGAGAGCTACAGTAAAGTGAGTGAGCCTAGCCTGTCATATATATATATATATATATATTTTTTTTTTTTTCCCCCTGGACCTTTGCTATAAAAAGCCTTAGGCAGACGTTGCAGAGTTTTATATGGAGATGGTTTCAGAGTTTCAAGCCTCTCCTCATGGTCACTACATCACTTCTTGCCTCAGCTGTGCTCTGAGAACACGGTGTTGTGCAATAATTTGTTTACATCAGATTGTAGTTTTGTTCTGTCAGCAGCTCGTGCTCCACTTGTGACGGCCGAGCCTCGTGGCGCTCAGCGGAGCAACAACGAGCTGCGGATGTAATGTTCCCGCTAACACACTGAGTCCATTTTGTTCAAATTAACACCAACACAATTGCTCTCTCGGCTCTCATTTTTCAGCCCTGCAGTTCCCCCACTTGAACTGTAATTACTTTCAGCACTGGCACATATTTTTTAGATTTTATTTTTATTTTTTTTATAGTTTTCTGAAGGCTGACAGAAATGTTAACCGCAAACTGTTTCAGGAATAATAATTTATAACTTAACTTTTAGTTACTTTGAAGCTGACATTTTGATTTACTTAATAGGTTTTTTTATTTAGTTTATATTTTTTGGAAATTTTACCACAAAATGTACAACTCTGTACCGTTTGAGCCGTCTAAATGTACTCCCAAGTTTTGTAAACAAACTTTTCTTACATCAAAGTGTAGACGTTTTATCTTTTTTCACTCAGTGTCTTTCAACAATATAAAACTTGTAGTTTTCTCATAAATCAGTGCACTCCCACAGATATAAACTGGTAGTGAAGGGTCTTTATAGCTTGTCATACAGCGGGTAAAATAAGTATTGAACACGTCACCATTTTTCTCAGTAAATATATTACTAGAGGTGCTAATGACATGAAATTTTCACCAGATG